CGCGGCCCGCCTGCTTAAGCCAGGGAGGGGGCTGGGGAGGTGGGAACAGGCCTACAAGAAGCAGGGAAAGAAAAATCAAGTTGCAATTCCATGGGGATCCCACCCCGGCCATCGGTGAGATGTGGTTTGTGTAGCCACAGGTTGGCTGATAGCAGTCAAACTCGTATTCTTGGGTTTTCATCTTACTGCACTGGGTTTGCAAGCCCAGCTCTAATAAATAGTATGGTTTTTAGTCATACTGAAGTCCTCCCACCATGTTTTCACCTTGCACGTGGGGCAGGAACTGGGCTGTGCATCACAGGGTGGTTTTTCTCACCTTTGAAGACAGGCTGAGAACATTGGGGCTGTTCAGCCTGGAGAAGAGAAGCTGCTGGAGACCTCAGAGCAGCCTCCAGTGTCTCTGCTGGGGGCTATGAGACTTTTTCTCAGGGATTGTAGCGATAGGACAAGGGGTGATGGGTTCAAACTGAAACAGAGGAAGTTCAGGTTGGATATAAGGACGAAGTTCTTTACTATGAGGGTGCTGAGGTGCGGGCACAGGGTGCCCAGAGAAGCTGTGGCTGCCCCATCCCTGGCAGTGTTCAAGGCCAGGTTGGACACAGGGTCTTGGAGCAACCTGCTCTAGTGGAAGGTGTCCCTGCCCATGGCAGGGTTTGGAACTGGATGAGTTTTAAGGTCCCTTCCAAAACAAACCATTCCATGATTCTCTTGTCTCATCTCCACCAGGTCATGCGCAGAGTCGGAGCATGAACGACATCTCGGACACACCGAGCACCGACCAGGTAATCACCCCAAAAACATTAGTGCAGTGGCGTGAGGAGCATCTCGGACATGGAAGGGACTCTCTGGTTGTGAAGGTCCATGTGAGCCTTGTGCAGCTGCACTCGGTCAATAACCACATAAATTCCTAATTAGGGAAATGAATCCATGTATTGATCCCAACTGACTCATGGGGAAGCTGTCCCAGAAACAGTACCTGTGCTTGTGAGTTGAACGCAGTTCGAGACATGTGAGGATGCTGATGTAGCTTGAGAGCCTCAGGGTTGAGAAAACATTCCTTAAAATCTTTAGGTAGGGAAGGAAAGGTGCCTGGAAGAGTGCTGGGGTCCTAAAAATGCCTTTGCTTGGCAGTTGGAGGGGATAAATCCCATCCGAGCACTTGGGACTGCAAACATCAATGCAGCTCTTGAGACAAAGGTCTGTAAATAGAGGCAGGTCCCATTTTTCCCTCCATTTTCACCATGATGGATGTGAACTTCATCCATTAGGAGCTTTTCCCGCCTGGTTTGCTTTAAACTGGAGACCTGGGAAGGAGCTCAGGCTGCTCGGGCAGTTAGTTGGCAGGTCTCTGCTTGGTGATAGATGGGTCCATAGGATTTGTGCCATTCTTTGTGCTGGATGTCCCGTCCCCATCGAGGCATTTTAGCTGGGAACTGTTGGTGCATTATGTGGGCTTTGCTTTGTTTCTCTTTGTGTGGGATTTTAGCATAAACCTAAAGGAAAACTAAACACAATGTGGATTTGTAGGAATAAGGTTGGATGGGGCTTGAGCAATCTGCTCTAGTGGAAGGTGTCCCTGCCTGTGGCAGGGGGTTGGAACTGGATGAGCTTTAAGGTCCCTTCCAACCCAAACCAGGCTGGGATTCTATGACAACAGCTTGCTTGCTTTTCCCCTTGCTGGGCTTACTGGGGTGATGTAATGTAAGGGGAAGCAAAGGATGGAAATTCATGTGTTGCTGGGAGCCACCGGACAGGGATGCCAGGATATCAGGAAGGCAGAATGTTTCCAGGACACCTCCCAAAATCAAAACTCTACTAAACCAACCCAACTGCCTCGAACGAACCCCAAATCTCAGCCTCCAGCAGCAGGGTGTGGAGGGTTAATCCCAAAATATGCAAAGCATTTAGGTTTAATCATGCTATTAGACCCACTACAAAGGGACTTTTTAAGTGTTACATGAAGCTTAGTGGTCACTGTTAACTCCTGCTCTTGCTTATTCCAAACTGCATTGGAGGAGTTGCTTTATTATGATGATTTTTTTCCATTTGGATTTAAAAGATTAGGAAGGGGAGTGCTTGCTGCCCAGCTCACATGCCTCCCCTCATGCTGGCATATAGATTATAATAACACCCTGCCTGGGTTGGTATTGAACCCTTTAAAACTAATAATGAAAGAGCTGCAGGGGAGAAGAGACCCGGGGAATAAATCCATGCGGGAGGTTTCCTACATCCATCATGGGAGGATGAGATTGAGGAGGAAAGAGCTACAAAAGCATCCCCCGTGCACAGCACCCACTGGTGTTTCTGCGTTGGATAGAGGAGGTTGGGGCTGCAGATGGACTTGTAGAAATGCAGGGATCCCTATCTTTTGGCTCAGATTTTCTGCAGCCAATTCCATGGGGTTTTCCTTGTGGAGCACCTCCTGCAAACCACCCTGTTGCACATCCTATCAGGGAGCCCCGAGCGTGTGGTTCCAAGTTAATCTCGGGCTTAGTGGTGGTTTGGAGTAATGAAGAAATTCAGCTTGATGAGTCCTTGCTGGTTTATTCTTGGATATGGCTCTTAAATCCCACCTCTGGGAGTCCTGGGACTATCAGAGATGATGAAGTTCGAGCCTCTGGCTTCAGCTTTTGCATTCGCAGTGTGGAAAAGAGAGGGGGAAAAGCCAGATTTTGCAACCACTCCCATCCCCAACCTCATCTTTCCAACAGCTGAAGAACAAGTTCATGAAGAAGATCCCCAAGGATGCAGAGGCATCCAATGTGCTGGTGGGAGAAGTGGAGTTCCTGGAGAAGCCCTTTGTGGCTTTCGTGCGGCTCCTCCAGGCGACGATGCTGGGAGGGGTGACAGAGGTGCCCGTCCCCACCAGGCAAGCACAATTCCTTTGGGTCCAAAGTGGTCTCATGACACAGATGCTGATGGTCTGAGGTTGCCAACATGGTGCCTTTCCCTCCCCAGGTTCCTTTTCATTCTCCTTGGTCCTGCGGGAAAAGCCAAATCCTACAATGAGATCGGCAGAGCCATCGCGACTCTCATGGTGGATGATGTGAGTAGATGCATCACCCAGCCCTCCCCAGGAACCCTCTTGCTCAGACCCGAGAAGAAAAAGCAATTTTCATCCTATTACCCCACCAAATGAGCTTTGAAATCCCACAATGACATGGGACACGTGTGCTGGATGCCCTTCCCAGGCTGACACCTCTCCTTTCTTGACCTCCAGCTCTTCAGCGACGTTGCCTACAAAGCCCGGGATAGAGAAGATCTGATTGCTGGCATCGATGAGTTTCTGGATGAAGTCATTGTCCTGCCACCCGGCGAGTGGGACCCCAATATTCGGATTGAGCCACCCAAAAAAGTGCCCTCGGCTGAGAAGAGGTGGGTGGGAGATGTGGGGCTGGAACCAACCCTGTGGCCATCCCCATCTCTCCTGATTTGGAGCTGCTGGAGCACAGCAGCTTTGTTGCCTTCATCCCTAGAAATAATCTCTGCAGATGTTCCAGAAATGCTGCTTTTTCAGCACTTTTTTACCCCCAGAGCAGCTCAGGGCTGTTTCCACCCTTGGGCTGGGAAAATCCAGCTCTTGATCTTTCCACATTCACCCCAAGTGGAGAACTACAGCCTGGCCTTGGTCATGAGCCCTGCCTCAAGACTGGGTTGGTAGGGCAGGTCCATGGTCAATGCTGGTGATGTCTCCCCCAGGAAATCAGTTTTCTCACTGAATGAAGTGGGGCAGATGAACGGCACGGCCGGTGGGGCAGGCGCTGGGGCCGGTGGAGGAGGCAGCGACGATGGGGAGATGCCTGAAGTTCATGAGATCGGGGAAGAACTTGCGTGGACCGGCAGGTGAGCAAGCACCCCACCACCCCTAAACCCATCAGTGTCTTCTCCTGGCTCACCCTGTGGTGTCAGGGGCATGGAAAGGGTGAAATCCTTTTGGGCACCAGCTTTTGTGCAGGACTCTTTTGGTAGAAAGCAAATGCATCTGGTCCTTTGTGGTTTCTTCCCAGGTTTTGTGGTGGCCTCTATTTGGATATCAAGAGGAAGCTGCCCTGGTTCCCAAGCGACTTCTATGAAGGCTTTCATATCCAGTCCATCTCTGCCATCTTGTTCATCTACCTGGGCTGCATCACCAACGCCATCACATTCGGGGGCTTGCTTGGGGATGCTACAGACAACTACCAGGTAAAGTCCAAGGAGAAGGGGTCACTTTGGCTTGGGGACAGCAGGATGGGATGGGATGGGTTTTACCTTCCTTGTGCCATGCCAAGCTTTAATGCTGGAGATGGAAATTCATTGCCAAGTAGGACTGACAGTCCTGAAGTACCTACAGAATGGGAAAACTCATCTCAATGGCAATGCCAGGAGCAATGGGACATGGTCCCAACCTATGCAGGTCCAAGCAGAGGTCCTTAATTCCCACCTCCATCTGTGGGGAGGAGGTAAGGTGGCACAGCATCACCACAATGCTGGATTTGATCCATCCCCAGGGTGTCATGGAGAGCTTCCTCGGCACAGCCATGGCAGGCTCCATGTTCTGCCTCTTTGCTGGGCAGCCGCTCATCATCCTCAGCAGCACCGGCCCCATCCTCATCTTTGAGAAGCTGCTCTTTGACTTCAGCAAGTAGGTGCTGGGAGATGCCAAGGGGAATTGGGACCCATCTGTAGTGGGATTTGGGCTGTTCTCCAGCCCACAGCGTGCTCTCACAGGGCTGCTCTTCCCTTGTCCCCACTTTCAGAGGCAACGGCATTGACTACATGGAGTTTCGCCTCTGGATTGGCCTCCACTCTGCCCTCCAGTGCCTTATCCTGGTGGCCACGGACGCCAGCTTCATTATAAAGTACATCACCCGCTTCACAGAGGAAGGCTTCTCCACCCTCATCAGCTTCATCTTCATCTATGATGCCATCAAGAAGATGATTGGAGCCTTTAAGTACTATCCCATCAATTCGGACTTCAAGCCGGACTACGTGACCATGTACAAGTGCGAGTGCATTGCTCCCGACCCAGGTGAGTACACATCTGTTTTTTGGGGAATGATGAAGGGGTTGTGGGGTCCTGCTGTGAGTAAATCCCACTGGATCATTGGCTGAAGACATGGAAGGAGGCAGCTACCTGGTCAGCACGGGGTAGAAAGACCTCGCCCCCTCCTCTGAGGGTGTTTTGGGACAAGATGGAAGTGGAGCCTTATCCCCCATGGATGGATGCATCGGTGCTTGTCAGGACACAGCAAATGGTGCTGGACAACCAAGGCCTCAGCCTGGAGCAGCCAGACCTAGATGGATAAAAAGGAAATATGGGGAAAAAAGGATGTTTTACATCATTCCAGCCTGCTGTCGATGGCAAGCTCTCCAGAAAATACACTGGAGGTATTTTGTCCTCTCCGGTGTCTGCGACACCCCGGGATGTCCCACTTGGGTGCAGAAACCTCCTCGGACTGGTTTTTCTTCTCTTTCTTACTCCTTGCCATAAAGGAGAGGCCATTGAGCTTGGAGCAGATGGTCTTTTGATGGCTCCCCTGGTTTTGCTCTTGGATAAATGTACCGGATGATCCCCCATCCGAATTGTGCAGCTCAGATGCTCCTGTGGCCACCTGGAAAGGAGCCGAATCTTTGCTTTGGTCTAATGACAGCGACCACCTGCTAAAAGCTCAGTTTATCTACAAAGTCTAAATGCTGGCAATTTTGGGGAGTATCAGCTGTGGACAGAGGATGCAGAGAGGTGTGATGGTGAAGCTCTTACCAGCAATAAAAGCATCCAAGACCTGCCATGCAACACGTTCCCAATACATCCATCACTGCAAGAAGAGATCTCGCCCTCCAGGATGGAGTTAACAGTTATTTGGTTTAATGTTGTATCTCTCCTCAATTTCTGTTCATCAACCACCCACTGAGTGACCTGATCCTGTTGGGTTTGGAAAGCCCTGCACACAGTAGAGACAACACAACCCTTCCCAAACCAAAACCCTCCCAAATCTGACCTGCAGGAAAGCGAAGCCTGATGCCCGATTCCCAGGGGACCAAAATATCCCAAACAGGACCGTGACCACCTCCATCCATCCACATGGATGAAGACAAAGCCTTTAGCTTCCGTGGAGGTCTCCCCCTTTTCCAAGCCCCATCCCAAGCAAATCCCAGGCTGCCAAGAGGCATTTGCACCCCAAAACATGATATCTCTTTGCAACCCAGCCCCATTCCTTGCCCTTGCTGCCCTGGGCACCCACAACAGTGGTATCTACATTGGATTTTCCATTCCTTTAGCTCTTGAGATATTTATTCCCCCCAAAATCCTTTTTTTTTAATCTTCTTTTTTAATTAGTTCTGATTTTTGATTATTATAACTGATTTGTCCCATATTTGTCTCTGCTGCACACATCAATTTGGGCTGATTTCAATCTCAAGTGAGTATCACCTTCTAAATATTAAAACTCTCTTAATCTCTGATACTCTTCCCCCATGGGGGGGTTTTGCTGTTCTATTTTTCCCCCCATGTATTTGACTTTGCTCTGCTAAAGGGTTTCTGTAGAGCTTTGGGGCCCTCTCTTAACATGCCACCAGTGGGATGCTAGTCTTTAAGTTGTAGAAGTCACAAATAAGGCTGGTTTGTGGAAAAGGAAAAGGTTATGGAGGAATATTAATATTATTATTAATAATAATGATAATGATATTACTGATAACGCTGTTTCTGGAGCCTGGTTTTGGCAGCCCCAGGTCTCTGTGTCTAACCCAACAATCGCTTCTCCTTCATTAATCCTCGGCGCCTGGGATGCAGGCAGCAGGTTGGGGCAGCCAAAATTCCCACATGGCGCAGGAAGAGGATGGACAAGAGGGGGAGGCAGAATGGTGCTGGACCCCGCTTAGGGGCACCCCTAAAGAATGTGGGTGCTCCTGAAGCTGTGGAGCTGCATCGCCCGAAGAGCTGCGGAGCTGCTTTTTGCACTGGAAGCGAAGGTGCCGGGGGTAGAAATGATGGGGTTTTTTTGCAGTGAGACACCAAAACACCCCTAAAATATGATAAAACCCCCTAAAAAACCCCAAAATTACAAATTTCAAAAGCAAATTGGGCATCATTGTGTGCTGCCTCCCAAATCCAAGGCTGCTTTTCCAGTCTACCCCTATGGTTTTAAGATGCGGGTGTCGGGATGCTGTTGGCTTCCTTGGGAAGCTCCTAGAAGTTCAAGGAGCGGGAAGCTCCTAAAACTTACCTCCACTCACCCTGGCACTCGCCAGCCCTGGAGGGAGAAGCTGCTGAAGGAGAATCCTTGTTCTCCGCCGGTGCATGGGATTAATCAGGGAGAAGTGGCTGTGGGGTTAGAAACAGGGGGTTTTCTCCCCACATCCCGGTCTGCCCTCGGGATGCTGATCCCTACGTGGCTCTCCAAGGATGTGCTCGAGCCCACATTTGCTTTGTGGGTGAAGCCCATCTGCTTTGAATGCCATAACCTCAATATTAGCCCAAAACCTCAATAACAAACTCCTTTCCCGCAGCCAATGCGACCTTGTTCGATGCTTCAGCTCCAGTGGCACCAAACACCACTAATGTTTCTCTGGTAAGTGCGTTTGCTCATCCCGATGGGAAATTTGGGATGAGGGAGGGCAAATCCAAGGGACTTGTGCATCCAGGGAGTGATGCGTGCTGGCTCAGAGTGAGGGAAATGCAGGATTCGCATTGATTTGGGTTCATGGCTCAGCTCAGCAGCACCAAATCCCCACTTTTTTAGTCCAAATTACTAGCACCTCCAGGATTTTCCTGTGGATTTGGGATTTCCAGTGGCAGGAAACTGAGAATAGCCCTTTCCTTTGTCTTAAACCACTAATTTTGCTCTTTTTGGCTGGGAAATCCCCTTTTCCCTGCACACTGCAATTCCCCACGTTGCTAATTTTGCTTTTGGGGCCAGGAAATGCCCCTTTCCTGGCACGCTGCAATTCCCTCAACTACTAATTTTGCTGTTTTGGGGGTTTTCTCCCCAGTACAATGCTATTAACCTCACAGCTCTGGACTGGACTCAGCTCAGTAAGAAGGAATGTCTCAAATATGGGGGCAGCTTAGTGGGAAAATCCTGTAAATTCGTGCCTGACCTGGCCCTGATGTCCTTCATCCTCTTCTTTGGGACCTACTCCATGACCTTGACCCTGAAGAAGTTCAAGTTCAGCCGCTATTTCCCCACCAAGGTAAGGGAAGTGTCAAGTTTTACCTTCTTCTTCTCAAAAAGGGAGGAAAAATGGGAGCTGTTGGTCTCCTTACTGGATGCAAAGAAAAGAAATCCCTATTTCTAGGAGATGTTGGTAGCGATTAGGAGAATCCTCCCTGCTTTGGGATCCTTTTGGCTGCTGATTTGGCTCTTGCATGCTGAATAACCCATCACTAAAGGGGGAAAACCCCTGCATCTTGTGGGTGATACCCAGGTTATCCATAAGTGAGCAGAGCTGGAAAGCCCCAGGGAAGGATGCTGAAGCAAAACTCCATCCCATGAAGTGCCCTCACCAGCCCATTACTTACCCTTTCCACCCCCATTTCCCTGTCTTGCCTCCAGGTCAGGGCTTTCATTGCTGATTTTTCCAATGTCTTCTCCATCCTGATCTTCTGCGCAGTGGATGCCTGTTTCGGACTGGACACCCCTAAGCTCCACATCCCCAGTATCATCAAGGTTCGGCTGCTCCTCTCCTCTCCATCCATGCTCTCTTTCCAGCTTCTCAATAGTTTTGGGAATAAAACATGGCTCCTGTATTATCCAGGCACCTTCTTAGAAGCTACTTTGTGTTTTCTGAGGGAACATTCTAATTCTGTGACTTCTTTTCCTTCTGTTTTTCTTTTCCTCCCCTTTTCTCTTTCATTCTTGGCAGCTGCGTAAACTTATTAGTGATTTCTCTATCTTTATGTCCATACTAATGTTTGTGGGGCTGGATGTGCTTTTTGGACTCAACACCCCAAAGCTCCAAGTGCCTACTGATTTTAAGGTAAACTAAAGCAATAAACCCCCTTTATAGTAAAACATTGCCCAAAATGTCTTTTCCTCCATCCTGGCTGTTGCTGTGGATGATGGAGGGAATCCCAGTGAGCATCCAGGCAAAGTCCGCGGTTAAGGCGTGTGGATGCTGGGGGTGGTTTGGGTACCTATGTGTGGTGGTGGGATTCTGGGATGGATGCAGCATCAGAGAATCAACCAGGTTGAGAAAGAGCTTTAAGCTCATCAGGTCCAAGTGTTCCCCAGCAGTGCCAAGGCCACCACTAACCCCTGGCTCTGAGGGTCTTGTCTACCCAGGCTGTGAACACTTGCAGGGACGGTGACTCCAGCCCTGCCCTGGGCAGCCTGTTCCAATGCCTGAGCACCCTCTTGGCAAGGAATTGTTCCTCAGCTCCAGCTAAACCTGCCCTGGGGCAGCTTGAGGCCATTTCCTCTTGTCCCATCCCTTGTTCCTTGGGAGAAGAGACCAACCACCAGGGCAGGACAGAGCTTGGAGGCGATGGAGTTCAGGGTGATGTGGGGCTTCCCAAAATGTCAGTGCTGGGATTTTCTCCCTCTCTGACCCATTCCGGGCTCAGCCATGGTGTCCAACCTCCTTCTCTTCCCCCCCTCCCAGCCCACCCGTGTGGACCGAGGGTGGTTCGTGTTTCCCTTTGGGAAGAACCCGTGGTGGGTTTACCTGGCGAGCGCCCTGCCGGCCCTCCTCGTCACCATCCTCATCTTCATGGACCAGCAGATCACAGCAGTCATCGTCAACAGGAAGGAGCACAAGCTGCGGGTGAGCTGGGACTCATCCCATGCTGGGGGGCACAGCATCACTTTGGGTACCGCCTGCATCCCTGTAAGCACCCGCTTTTGGGTGCTGCTGAAGGCAGGGAAGGGGGGGTTCACCCTGGCTGTGCAAAGCAGGTGCTGTCCCTTTCCTTTCAAGCTGTATTTTTGGGGTGACAAAACCTCCAGGGTGTTGAGTTCACCTGATGCTGTAGATGGTGGTGGTGGTGGTGGGATACGGGGTGCGCTGCAGCAGAGCAGGGTGCAGCAGGAGGATGCAGGGTGCACTGCATGGGGAGCAGGGTGCAGCATGGCAACGTGGGGTGCAGTGTGTATAGGAACAATGTGGGGTGCTGCAGGGTGCAGCAAGGCAATGTGGTGGGGTGCATCAGTACAAAGTGGATTGCATAAGGGTGAAGCGGGGTGGTTTAGGGTGGTGTGGGGTGATGCAGGGTGCGCCATGGTGATGTGGGGTTCTTGGGGGGGATGCAGGGTGCTTCGGGATGACTTGAGGTGTTGTGGGGTGTGCTGTGGCAACCTGGGGTGCATCAGGGGGGTGCAGTGTGTATGGGAACAAAGTGGAGTGCTTCAGGGTGATGCAGGGTGCACCATGGCAATGTGGGACTCATCAGGGCAAAGTGAAGTGCATGAGGGTGATGCAGGGTGGTTTAGGATGATGTACAGTGATGCAGGGTGCACCAGGGTAACGCAGGGTGCATGAGGCTGATGTAGGGTGCTCTGCAGTGATACAGGGTGATTCAGGGTGATGTGGGGTGCACCATAGTGATGCAGGGTGAACTATGGCAACATGGGATGCATCAGTGCAATGTGGGGTGCATCAGAGAAATGATGGGTGTACCAGGGTGGTGCAGGGTTCAGTGGGGTGACGCAGGGTGCACCATAGCACTGTGGGGTGCAT